TCAAACAAACAAACAAAATATTATTCATGAATGAATTAAAAGTAAAAAAATAGTAATTCTTCTAACTTAATAAACTCTCATGAAATTATAGACTTATATGCAGGGGTGTACTTTCCAAAGAAAATTAGTTTTTGTGTTTTCATCAGCTGGAAATAGACATTGGTAGTGTTATGATATTGAGAGCAGTTATAAATATCCCTCTGAACCAGGAACGTATCAAAAACATCAACTCTGCATATAAAAATGTTATTCCAAGTAAACATGTTTTCTATTTCATCTTTAAGGTACTGTAAATTGAAACCTCCAGGGAAATGTATAATTCATAAGTAATATAAAGGAAAAGAAAACAGGGACCATACATTCTCAAGTATCTGGAATACACAATCAAACGTTTTCCCCCTCAGTATTATGCTTTATGGAATTTTTGCCTTAATCTACATCTCAAAACTCCAGGGCACTGAAATTTAAAGAAACTGAAGATTCCATATGTTACTGAGCTGGTAAAGTTGTGAACTATTGTTTGACATAAAACAATTTGGCATAAAACAAATGCTTTATTACTGAGACATGTTTAGTCATTAGGGAGTGCTGTGCGTTGCAAAGCTGTTTACAGAGTTTAAAGGTAGTATTAAAGACAAAATATCAAACTAATTCAATAATTCATTTTATCTTATACTTAGAATTTTATGTTTCGAAAATAATGCTATCAGATATTCTATTATTTTGTAAAAAAGGAATACATGACAATATTAAACTTGTCTAAAGATAAAGACTGAGTAGGGTTTTTAGCTAAATAAAAATGAATAGGTTTTAAAAATGAATATAGAAAGAAAACAAATGCTTAAAACTGATGTGTTTATTGTGTTTTCAAAATATCAAACCAATATTAGCTTTTTAAAATTATATATCACGTTTTTTTTTTTTTTACTTTGTAGCAGACAGCAGAATTTATTCTCCATTACTCTTTTCTTTTAATCATTTAAAAATTTTAAATGGCTTTTTTATTATACTTCTGTACTTGATTTGAACCCAAAGCCTTCACACTAAGCTCCATCCCCAGCTCTGTTAAGAGCTCCTATTTCTGCTGGCCATGTTGGTGGATCCCTATAGTCCCAGCACTCAGGAAGCTGATGGACGGGGAGTGCCAGAAGTTCACAGTCAGCCTGAGCCACACAGTGAGATCTTGTCTCAAACAACAAACACCTAACAGAACAAAAAACTAACAAAAGAAAAAACAAAAACAAAAACAAAAAACACAACAACTTTTTGTTTCTTTTTTTTTTATTTTGAGACAATCTTGCCAATTCATTAATTGCCCACCCGGGACTGGAATCTGTGATCACCTGCCTCAGCTTCCCAAAGTCTTGGGATTATAGCTGTGTTCCATATTTCCTGGGAAATCCTAATAATTTCATTTCCAGAAAACTCCTATGAAACTGTTAAATTCATATGGATAATGGACACTGTTAAGTAGAGTTCAGTTATCTGATTAGGCAGCTGCCAGTCTGTAAAGATGAAAGCATATAAACTTATTTACCGAACAGCTAAGTTGCATATAAAAGCTGGAGTAAAGGAGAATAACTGACAGCTTTGTCTAGGGGAACAGTACTTCAGTAAGATACAGGCAGCTTGCAAAAGGGGAAAAGAAACCTGTAGTCAGTTAGAGAAGAATGTGTAGACTTGAAAGTGAATATGAATATATTTATAATTACAATGAGAAAAACTATACCTTATGGAGAAATTGTCATCTATATAAATTACATGCGGATTAATTTATAAGTTTAATGCATATTTTTGAAACTCTTCAAATCTCTGTTAGTTTTATTTTCCATGTCTTATCACTAATCTAAGACACTACTTTCTTTGTTAACATTACATTATTTCTAATCAGGGAAGGTCCTTAAGTGAGACGCTATTTTGTCTTACTCTGAGTACACAGAGATTTGCTTAGTTCTTATAGGGTAAACAGTACCTCTGTTCACAAACTCAAATCTCTCCATGATTCTGGTCACAAACCAGTGATGTGAGAATCCAATCAAGCTCAATGGTTGGATACTCAATGTTGATCTTACGAGGAAATTGGATTTGGTTCTTGTCCAGTTCAGTTTGCAGAGTTTCTGGTACAGAACTGAGTTCATGAACTGAGGTACCACTGCACTTCTCACTCTGTGCTCTAACCCTGTGTTACTGAACTTGTAGATCTCTTCCATTTGATTTAATAGTCAGCAACTTGCACACCAGAGCATAGAAGATGCATCTATAGAAACTGAGGTCAAATTTAGTCACTCTTCAGTAATATTTAGTTAATTTACTCTTTAGGTACTTTTCAAAACAATTTTAATTATTTCATTCATTCAATAATTCCTTATTTGATGGTACTAATATGCACCCATGGTGTAAATGCATTATAAATAGCTTATTTAATAAACATAAAAATTCTATGAGCCAGATGATAAATATGAATTTAACTTATTTAATATTCTACCTCAAGAGACAGATGTTCTGAATATTGTTTTAGAAATGAAGAAATGATATAAAAAAGAATGTGTGTAACTTTCTTATCATTAGCACACAAGTAAATGGTAGAAACAATTTTTTAAAATTAAGATGTTTGACCTTAGATGATCTTAACCAATAAACAAAAGCTACTCTGCACTGAGATTTAAAAATTAACTATTAAAATTTTAGCTGAGCTGAAAAAATTAAATTTCCATAAATTTCTCTGAACACCCTCATCTCATGAGGACTAGGTAACATTTTCATAGAACTTAGATATCACAGTCAAGACTAATTGATGATGTGAAAAACCACAACATACTTCCATTTTGAGGTCTCTAAGCAAAACCAAAAGCCACAAGATGGAACAGTTCCAAGCTGTTCACTTATAATAATTAACCTTCCCTTTTATCTAAAAAGATTTGAATTGTTGAGCTATCTTATACTATAAATTTATACATATATAAGTCAGAAATACAAATTTCCCCAAGTAGTATGCCTGATGCTTTTTAGTATTAGCAAATAGACTCTCCAGAATGGCACATTTTATTTCATCTGAAGAAACATCAGAATATTTACTGGAAAATCTGAAATAACAAGACAACATCTCTGGCAAACTTTAGGAAAACATTAAAGCAAAAAATTTTCTTCAAGGCTCTGAATCTCAGCTAGTTAACAGTTTACCTTATCTAAGAAGAATATTCCCTAAATACTGGCGCCTAAGAAAACTTAATCCTGCTTTGGTTAGGGACCTATTTCTATGCTGAATAAATTACATGCAGAGTTGATAAATTCTTGCTTAAAATCAATTAGGATTTTAAAACATTTCTCCAGTTACTAAATAATAAACTTTAACTTCTTCACAGAAACATTAAAAATAACATTTTTAATATGTATGAAATAGTTATTAGGGGTATGAGAGCGAAATACAGCATCTCCATTAAAAACAAAGGCTAAAATTTCTGCTCACAAACCAGTGATGTGAAAATCCAATTGAGCTCAGTGTTGGAGGACTCAGTGTTGATCTTATGAGGAAATCTGATTTGGTTCTTGTCCAGTTCAGTTTGCAAACAGAGTTGCTGACAGAGAACTGAGTTCATGAACTGAGGTACCACTGTACTTCTCACTGACTAGGATTGTAAATCCCAGTTTTGATGGCTTTCCATAGACACATAAATAGATATTGATATAGATATACAGATGTGTAGATATATTCATATATTTATATATAAATAGTATATATGTAGATATATGCATATATCAATATATTTATATATCCATATATTTATATATATATATATATATTTATGGATATATTCATATATAGATATTTGAGATAAACTAATCAAGATAAGAAATATTTGAGTAACATTTGAATTACTATATATAGGAACTTGATCATTTAAACATTTCCACATTGCTATATGCTTTGTTTGCCTTTTGTTTTGAAACAATCTCACTATGTATAGTCCAGTAGGACTGCCTCGGATTCGCTATGTGGTCCAGGGTGGCTGCAAACTTCTGCCTCTGTGTTTCTCATTGCTGCCATTACAGGGATGCAGCATAAAGCCCTGATTACTTGCTGCTTTGATTATTCCTTTACTCATAATTATTTTGGATAATGAAGTTCAAATATCTCTACTATTATATAGAATACATATGCTTGTAAGTAAACCACTGGTGAAATTCTAATAATTTGTTTAGTACAAATTATTTAAGACAGATTACTAAGGATTTATTTTAAAGAGCAAATCCTTCTTTACCACCCTCTGCCTTAATTTTAGCAATTTAGAGTCTTAATTTAGAGTCTACGGTAAAGGACACCTATGAGTCGCATGCTGGTCAACTAGCTTTATTGCATTTCTCATGCATGCTGTCTTCAAGTAAAGTTTGTGCAAGTGATCAAGCTTAATGTTAGAATAATCATATCTTTCTTTCCCTGTAGTGTTTAGTGTCTGATTTTTCACCTCTGTGTCTCATGAAGAGAACAATTTATTTAGTCAAGTAATCACTCAATGGCTGTGCCAACATTGCTTTTTATAAAAAATCTGCCAGGAATTAAAGTTTAATTTCATGCATTTTGAGGCCGTGTCTACACTAGGAAAATGACTGCTGGGCCATCAATAGAATTTTATTAGGATTGGAACTATGTTTTTTATCTGAAGGAAATAAGAAAGAAAATTATAATCAAATGGTGTATTTTCTATATATTTATCAGTCAGGATTATTTTTCTTTATTTAGGCTTTGGTTGTATATTTCTTTCAGCATTATACAAAATATAAACTAATTTATCAGTTAAAATGTCAAGAATTCCGGGCTGGGGATTTAGCTCAGCGGCATAAGCGCCTGCCTTGCAAGCAGGCAGTCGTGAGTTCAATCCCTGGTACTGATAAAAACGAAAAAGACCAAAAAAAAAAAAAAAAAAAAAATCAAGAATTCTCACACATAACGATTTTGTTTCAGGAACTTTCTCTTTTAAAATAATAAAGAAGGCACTACTCACTATAGGGCCAGGTGGTCCGTCTTGGCCTGCTGCTCCAGGAAGACCTTGTTCTCCCTGCAGAAAGGAAAAAATAAAATGATTGTATCTTATTAACAAAATAATATGCATTGTTTTAAATACATTGAGAATACAAAAAGAAAAAGAAAGCAAACATAAGCTATTGAACCACATGAAGAACATCTACAAATACTATAAGCAATTTGGTTCTATAGGCAGATGCACACATACATTCATCTACGGGAATAAGGTGAATGCATACAAATCGATATGTCAAGAACTACTTTATTATTCTGCCTTAATAAGCTTGAATTTTACCAAGCACTTATTACATAAGTGACATACTTAAATATTTAAAAGTGTATACGACTGTATTATATAATGCTAAATATATTATTTTGAGTTCCTATTAAATATATTAAATATATTTTTATTTAAAAATGCCACCATCAACATATTCATTCACAATTATTTTAGAAATTAACTGTGGTTGTCCGAACAACACCTTTTAGCACTGATGCTTACCACAGGTCCAGGGATGCCCCGAAGACCTTCTGGACCAGGCTTCCCAGCAGGACCCTGAGGACCCACTGGCCCAGTTTTTCCAGGAGGGCCTTCAGCGCCTGCTTCTCCCTGTTAAAAAACAAAATATGAGAACACACGTATACTAAAATATTATGCGATGCATTCATGAAAACTTTCAAGCATTTGATCTAGCAGAGATATTTTACCTTAGCACCTTTTTCGCCTTGTCTTCCCTCTGAACCTGCAGCTCCAGGGGGACCCTAAAAACATAAATGAGGATCTTAAATAGGAATACTAAATATATATAATGCATGCAAATAAAGATTCATGTATTTGTAACCCCAATTTAATTTGTAACAGACTCCAATAAATTGTAGCTTTCTATTTGTTTTGAAATGTAATGCAAAAAATTATAACTATTTTATGGACAACCTATGTGGAATATTAAAAATAAAGTAGTGACTGATTAGATTTACAGATAACCATACCACATAAATGGAAATGAACAGAAAAAATTAAAAAAAACTAAAATGTTGATGAATTAAAATAGTTACAAAGTGAAACTCATTTACTATGCTAAATTACTGGGAAGTAAATCCTTACATGTGTTTTAAGAATGGCATCTTTCAATCTAAGAACACATAATGTTCATATATTTTTATAACATTGTATCCCAGCTAAAGAAACATGACTTTTAAAATATGTTCAGCAAATAGAATATTTCATTTTCGAAACTATGTAAGTTACAAAAATAAGTAACAGTTATAGTGTATCACTTTTTAAAACACAGTATTACAGCACAATTTTAAAAATTTACACAAAACGCCATAAAATAGTTAAGTATTGAAAGATTACTTAAGTAATCTTGTTTTTGAAGTATTTACCTCAATTTGTTCAATGACTATTCCTCAAATCACTGGATTTGGAGGTAGAAGAGTGTACTCACAATGTTAAACATGAAGATAATTTTCTATTATATCAGAAATTAGCTTAATATCTAGGTGACTACATGCCAGTATTTATACCATCTTTAAAATTCATATTTCAAATGAATATTAAGCACTTCATCAAAAACAGAATATTCCACAAACTCATTTTATTTCAGTTTGTCCATGAAGACATCATTAGTAACTATTATTATCAACACTATAACCTCATTCATTACTGGTCATTCATTGTGCTTCAGCCTAAAAATAAGTGATGTACAAATTTTATGAGCAGTGTCTTAAAGTGGTAACAATATATGAAATCACAGTGTGTGTGTGTACACACACATAAACTACAGACTACATCTTTTAACAGCATTACCTATTGAAGAAAATATCTCTACTGTACCATAAAGTTTTTTTTCTACCATCAAAATGTTGAGCTATAAAGTATTTTGATATGATATTTAAAACACTAACCAATGTAAAGTAGAAAAATCAAATTTAATTGGCATTATTTTGGAAAGAGAATAATGTAATTCAGTGAAACAACACATTATTCTTCTTTAATGATCATTTTTCCTTAAAATAGCGGCATGAATATATGCTTTCTTAACTTAAAAATATCTGTGCTACACACTTAAACTTTATAGAAGATTTATTTATATCTGCTTTTTGAAAAGCAGTCAGCCGCTAGCTTAAAAATACAGGAAAAATTCCTTTTAATGATAAAGGACAAAAATAAAGAATTTGAAGTTTCTGAGGGTTTGAAACAACCAAGCTACAACATAGACACAAAAATGTTATTAAAATAAAGGCTTCCTCTATCTCAAAACATGTCTTCCATCTGTGAACAAATATCTGCCATGCAGTAAATCTTTATTAAATAACTCAGTTTGGTTCATTACATCATTTTATTTTATCTTAATATTCTCTCTGAATGGCAAATGTGTATGTGTGTGCATGTATAGAAATTTTATAAGAAGCCCAGTGTGGTGGCACATGCCTGTAATCCCAGTACTTGGGTGGCTGAAACAATAGGATCAGGAAACTGAGGCCAGCGTGGACTACATAGTAAATTTCAGAAGTCAGCTAGCCTAAACCACATAGCAATACTCTGCCTCAAAAAATAAATAAAAAGTATTTTAAAAGAGAAGCATGAAGCCTTCTAGGAGGTGGAAGTCTCCCTCCAAAAGGATGTGTTAGATATTTAAATCCAATGCAGGTATGTTAGAAGCTGGACTCTAATGGGAAGTATTTAATTCATGAAGGTGCCCCTCTTAGGAATGGATTAATACAGACTATAAAAGGCTGTCCTTTCTCACTCCCTGGCTCTCTGGCTCTCATGCCCTCTCCTTCCTGCCTGCCTTCTCATTCTCTTTGCCTTTTGGCCATGGGTTACTCAGCAAGACCTTCGCCAGATATTGTCCCATTTGTCTTTGACTTCCCTGCTTCCAGAGCATCAACCGATATTTTCTGTTATTTATAAATTACCCTGTATGTGATATCATTCTTTGGCAGGGCAAAACAGGGTAAAAGAATGCTTATGGAAAAATATTTGCCTGATAGCTGTTTATATATTTGCATAAAGGCTCCATTAGTTCTTCACTGATTATACGTTCTTCTACCCCCAAGAAATATGCATCCTACACAATATCTAAAATAATATTCTTTTTGGTAACCATGTTTAATGATGTGATCCTATTATTTATTTATTCTTCCACTTGCGCTACAAACATATAACTTTCATTTATGTTCCAGAACTGTGCTATTCGTAAAAAAACACAAGTAAAATATGAAAATGAAACCATAAGGAGTTCACCAAATTTAAGTTACAAAGATGAGAATAAAAGCTAATAAAGTCAGCGAAAATGTGAATATTGGGTCTGTACAGAAAACATTGACTGCTGTGGTTTGGATTTGGAATGTCTGGTACAAAGCCTTACTCCCTCAGAGGCAGAGCTTGTCGGGGGATTCCAGCGCACTAGATCTGACTTGCTGTAAAGCAGAGGCTGTTTAATTAGAGGGATGGATCACGCTACCCAGCTTCTCCACTAGCTCTCTCTGCTTCCTGACACCACTGTGTGTACACAGTGTTTCTTCGTTCAAGTCCTTCTACCATGCTGTTTCTGCCTATTAGCTAAAAGTCTGTGTGTGTGTGTGTGTGTGTGTGTGTGTGACTGTGCATGTGCGCACATGTGTGTGTGTGTGTGTGTGTATATACAGCAGCAGAACAGTCGACTGAGTGTATATGTGGTGGCTTGAGAGTTGAGAAGCAAAGAGGAAATTACAGAAAGGCAGTGAATTAAAATCAAAGCATAAAAATGGACAATAAGTTTTTGTTAGTTCATCAAAAAGAATCTACATTTGTTTACATATCAGCAAAAGACACTATGTCAAATTTAATTATAACTAAATTATTTGAGTAAACATTTACTCATACATGAAATGAAAAAATACCATTTTCCTATGAAAATAAGAAGTTTTCATACATACCATTTAAAAGCACTAACATTTAGAGTATTTGGTATGGTTTACACCTAAATATACTCCCAAAGCCTCCTAAATTTATAGGTAGGATTTTTGGGAGTGATTGGATTACGAGTGTATGAGAATGGGTCATAGATGTGAGATACTGAATCAGTCCACTGATTGGTTTAGCATCGATAGGTATGAATGATGAATTTACTGAACAGAGACCTGCCAAGGCTGTTAGTGGCATCAACCAATAGGGTTACGGCCTGGATGGACTAAAAAGGAAAGAAGTTGCACTGCCTTTGGCCTCTCAATTTATGGACTCTCTATTCTGCCATGCCACTCTGCCTCGGAGCCAGTCAACTATAGACTTAAACCTCTACAAATTGAGCTAAACTAAAATGTTCTTCCTTTAACGTGTCAAGTATTTTATCACATCAAGAGGAAGTAACTACCATAAGACAATATTTTAAAATAAAGTTAAATCAATTTAATTCAACATATTTTTAAAATTATTATTATTTGAACTATGTATCTCTAAAGAATATACACAATCTTCAGTGTTCACCAAATTTAAATTCTGATCATGCTTGTATGATGACCTTCAGAAGCAGCTTTTACTGAAAAGAAATTATAAATAGATTTCTAATCTCTTTTGTCATTACAATGTATTTTATACTGATATATTTATGTGTGACTCAATTAGAAACCTGAAGTACTAACACATATAATAGTACATATTTAGAAGATATGTACCATGTAGTATAAGTGGCTATGTGAAATATATATACCTAAAGAATAATATATACATATATATGTTATATGTGACATATGTATTCATATACATCAATATGTTAAAAAGTGAGCTTTTTAATCAATATCAGTTATCAGCTTTTAAAATGTAAGACTTCCTTTGGCAATATAAACTGGACTGTTAAAATTCCATTTAACATGTGCATTTTCAGGTTAAAAAGTTTAAATTGTTAAGCTGTGTAATTTTTCCAATGAAGGTATGGAACTACCTATAACAACAGCTTATGTATTAAAATTCTATGGCTCTTTTTACAAACTATACAACCTTCTAGTGCCTTAAGATAATACACATTTATTTCTAAGTTTTATATATGCATGACATAAGGTACATGTACTAAAAATGGTAACTAAAATTTCCTACTTGTTCAATAACAATCGGAATGTTGCAACTTTAATATATTGATTGATACTGTGTTAGAAAGTACAGTATTCTTATTTATTTGTAAAATTCACTCAGAAAATGTGGTAATATTTTAAACACACTGTTAATTACTGCTACTTCTGCAATTAAATATTATAGCAAAACTGTTACTGGTTAATAGTTTAATTTACGGTAGTACTCAACTAATTCTGCTAGGTTAGTTGACTACAATTTAAGAGTGAAGCATTAATTTCCAGTGGTAAGGCAAAACAAATTGTAGTTTATTACAAGATTATTGACACTAGAATAAATTTTCATACCATTAGAATAAATTTTACTTTAGTGAAGAAAATAGATAATTGTATAAAATAGGTAATCAGATAAGCATGTCAGTTTATATAAAACTAATACAGAAAATAATTTAACATATTTTGTAGAAGAGCTTTCAGTTAGATATGATATCATGTTGTAAAAGAGGAAAAGCTGCATATTAACATTCAATTGTGCCGACTTGAGGTTGATTATTCAACTTTATTAAAATGAATATGAATAGCTTTGTAAGTAATACGTAGGTATCACAGTGCTCATGTCATTAATAATTCATTGGCAGTCTACTGATTTTGTTTACAAAGTGAAGAGAACAGACTAAAAATAGCTAGGCATATTAGTATAAATTTTAATTTAA